ATCTACCTGGTCCGAGACATCCTGGACTCGCGGCGACAGGGTGGTCGGCTGGAATATTTAGTAGACTGGGATGGTTATGGACCGGAGGAACGTTCCTGGGTGGCCAGGGACGACATTCTGGACCCTTTGCTACTAGAGGACTTCCATCGCACCCATCCTGGTCGCCCCACACCTAGAAGCCGTGGCCACCCCCGTCGCCGCTTGAGGGCATCAGGAGCCGCCCCTGGAGGAGGGGGTAATGTCAGGGATTCATCCCAGTCACTTCAGTCACCATCCAGGATAATCACCCGATCACAGTCAAGAACCCTGGAATCATTCACTGTGTTGACACTCACCTGCCTTTACCTCACCCGTTCCATTCTTCTGCTTATCAAGTCAATAAACCATCCTGTTTTGCACTTACCTGTTGTGTCTGGCCTTGCTTTGTGACATAATCATGTTGACAGTAAATGGGCCAATGAATTTAGGAGCAAGCTTATTACAGACGGTATGGAGAGGAACATTCTTGGATGAAAGCCACACTTTTTGACCAACGACGTAGATGGGAGGCTTTGACCGGTGGCGATCGGCCTGGGCCTTGGTGCGTGACCCCACCTGGAGGATAGACCCTCTAGCCTTCCTCCAGGTGCGGCGGCACCTCTGGACAAAGGCGTGGACAGAGGGGACCGTGACTTCGGATTCCATACTCTGAAAAATAGGTGGCTGGTAACCTAAGCTAAACTCAAACGGAGATAGGCCCGTAGATGACACTGGTAAAGAATTGTGTGCGTACTCCACACATGAAAGTTGCTGACTCCAAGAGGATTGGTTCTGAGACACCAAACATTCTAAATCTTGGTTAGCCCTCTCCGTCTGACCATTACTCTGGGGATGAAAGCCAGAAGAAAGACTAACAGTCACCCCCAACAAATGACAAAATTCCTTCCGAAATTTGGAAATAAACTGAGACCCCCTGTCAGAAACCACGTCCATCGGGAGGCCATGAATGCGAAAAACGTGATCAATGACAGCAACCGCTGTTTCTCTGGCTGAGGGTATTTTGGGCAGAGGGATAAAATGACTTGCTTTTGAGAACTGGTCCACCACGGTCAAAACTAAGCCTGAGAGAGCGGGAGTCTCATAACGAAATCTATCGAAATATGGGACCAGGGTCTTAAAGGAACTGACAGCGGTTGAAGGAGTCCAGCAGGGGGTCGATTGGAAGTCTTAGAAGTGGCACAGACTGAGCAGACAAAAAAAAAAAGTCGTATGTCACGGGCCATAGATTGCCACCAGAACCATTGCTTAATGAGAAAAATTGTTCGACTAACCCCCGGATGACAAGCTACCTTGGAACAATGACCCCAACGGATGACAAGTCACCGTAGAAACCACGATTTTCTGTGGCAAGATGAACTCGGGAGACAACGAGCACTCAGATTGGTCAAAAATGCGGGATAAAGCATCAGGTTTAATGTTTTTAGAACCTGGACGATAATAATTGGAAAAATGAAAGCGACCGAAATATAAAGCCCACCGAGCCTGCCTAGAGTTTAACCTTTTAGCAGACCTGATGTATTCAAGATTCTTATGGTCGGTCCAGACTATAAAAGGTTCCCCCAAACTCTCCAACCAATGACGTCATTCTTCCAAGGCGAGCTTGACTGCCAGCAACTCTCTATTACCAATGTCGTAATTGCATTCGGCAGGTGATAAGCGGTGAGAAAAATATGCGCAAGGATGCATCTTGCCATCCGCGGAAGAGTGCTGGGAAAGAACCGCGCCAACCCCCACCTCCGACGCGTCAACCTCCATCACAAACTGACGAGAAGGATCAGGGGCAACAAGAATTGGAGCTGAAACAAAGCAACTCTTTAGTTTGGAAAACGCAGCCTCAGCCGAGTCGGACCACCTGAACGTCGTTTTGGTGGAGGTAAGTAGCTAGCTGGCTGTAATTGCGGATAAAACGCTGGTAAAAATTGGCAAAGCCCAGAAACCTCTGCAGGGCCTTACGGGAATCTGGGGTTGGCCAATCTACCACAGCCTGAACTTTGTCGGGATCCATGCGCACTCCCTCAGACGACACAATGTAACCTAAAAAAGGGACAGACTGTGCATGAAAAACGCATTTCTCCGCATTGACAAAAAGCCCATTCTCTAGTAGCCTCTGAAGCACTAACCTGACGTGCTGAACATGTTCCTGGAGAGAGCAAGAAAAAAATCAATATCTCATCCAGGTAGACATATATGAACTGATTGACCATGTCTCTCAGCACATCATTGACCAGTGCCTGGAAGACCGCGGGAGCATTGGACAGCCCGAACGGCATATCAAGATACTGAAAGTGCCACCTGGGGGTATTAAAAGCGGTCTTCCACTCATCCCCCTCCCTTATGCGAACCAAATGATAGGTATTATGAAGATCCAACTTTGTGAAAAAGGAAGCACCCTGCAGACTCTCAAAGGATGAAGACATCAATGGCAAAGGATAAGTATTCTTTACCGTGATGCTGTTCAACCCCCGATAGTCAATACAAGGACGAAGGAAACCATTTTACTTTTCCACAAAGAAGAACCCCGCACCTGCAGGAGAAGAGGAAGGATGGATGATTTTGGCTGCCAGAGAATCAGAAATATATTTCTCCATGGCCTCCTTTTCCAGAGCGGAAAGCGAGTATAACTTGCCCTTAGGCGGAGACATACCTGACAATAATTCTATCGCACAGTCATAAGGACGATCTGGAGGAAGAGAAGCAGCCCGAGACTTACTGAACACTCCCTTCAGGTTAAGATAGTCAATGGGCACGTTTGACAGATCCATATGTTCATCCTGTAACACAAAACAAGACACAGAAGAACAAGCAGACAACAAACACGAAGCATGACGAAATTCACTCCAGGAAGAAACAGTGTTCTGGCACCAATATATGTTGGGATTGTGGCGTGAGAGCCAGGGGTGGCCCAAGACCACAGGAGCCAAAGGGGAGTCAGTCAAGAGAAAGGAAATGGTCTCAGTGTGGTTGCCAGAAGTGATGAGACTCACCGACTCAGTGGCATGGGTGACGGATGGATGAGACTGACTGCAGAGAGCACTGACAGAGATGGGAGGGTTGAGCGGAACCACAGGAACTCCTAGCTTAAGCGCCATCTTACGGTCCAAAAAATTACCCTCTGCTCCAGAGTCTATTAAGGCTTTACAGGTGAATCGGCCTGTCTGCAGTTTAACCGGGAGAAGAGTAGCAGCAGAAGAGGACTTCTCGAAAGCGATTCCACTCGTCAGTAACCTTCCTACCTACTGACAGGCTTTGGCTTTTACCGGGCACTGCGCCGCAATGTGACCCGCAGTATAGACACAGTCCCTGGGTCCTGCATCTCTCCTTCTCCTCCCGTGAAAGATGAGTTCTGCCCACCTGCAAATGAATGACATAACAGGGGCTCACCAGAGTAGACAGTTGGAGGCGGTAGACGGGGTTCGGCACGCCGGCTGGTGTAATCCACAGGTGGAACAGTAAGGGGGTTGAGCGCAGTGGGCTGTTGGGCAGATTCTGTCTTTAACTGTTGGAACTGAGTGGTTAGATCCGAGACTTGTGTTACTAGGGCCTGAGCGGCACGACCAGTAGCCATGATCTGTTCCTCCTGCTGTTCCATACAAGTATTGCTGCTGGTAAGAATGTCTCTAAGTTCCGCAACACTTGCTGGATCCATCCTTGGTCAGATCGTTCTGTCAGGGAATAAGAACTTGAAATCCAGTTGCAAGAGAAAGCACAGTTTATTGACAACAAAGAGTGAAATAAAGCACGACAAGCATGAGAAAACAACGATCTGACAACATGCACAGCAAACGCGAGACAGATAAAGGCAGTGGATAATGCACTACTGGTGCAGCCGCACTGATTAGCTCGTCAGCACCAAAGTTGACAGAGCAACACTGACAAGTAATCAGACAGGTGACAACACGCAGACACGCAGGAATGAACACACAGACCCGTGAACCGTGACACATATACATGGATCATACAAGCAGTTGACAATGCTATATGAAAATGAAAATTTTGCATTACATTTTTTTTTCGAACTTGTTCAAATAAAACATATTTTTTTAGAAATGTGTCCTATATATACAGTATATATATATATATATATATATATATATATGTCATAATTAGATTTTGAGACTTTAGCCTGAATTTCAGACAGGGTCACAAATACACATAATGATGGGCTTACACACTCTTAAAAATAAAGGGGCTTCAAAAGGTTCTTCAAGCGATGCCGATGTTAAAGGTTCTTTATGGAACCATTCAGACAAAAAGGTTCTTCTATGGCATCGTGAAGCACCTTTATTTTTAAGAGTGCAGGCATCATAGAGGATTGTGAAAATACAGTATTTCACTAGAACTTGGTCTTCATTGAACTATTTTCTGTTTCTGTTTTACCTCTGTATTTATTTATGTTCAATGTCAATTGTCATTTATTCATGCATTCTGCTAATAACGGTTGTTAAAATCATTTTTGCTACAATTTCACATGTCATTAAATAAAATAAAAATACCTAATTGACACAACATGCTGTTGTTGTTGTTTTTATGAAAACCTTAATAGAAGCTATAAGATATTATAAGACCAGGCAGATAGAGGGGTAAAAAAAAGTAGCAATAAATAATTTATTCAAATAATATTAATAAAACTAATATTAATGATATAAATATACTAATATTAATGAAAATAAACTATCATTAAAATGGTTATTTATAAGACCATTAAGGTTCTAAATAGCACTGTCAAAGCATGTTTCTTTATGGAACCTTATAAAAAGGTTTCTATTTAGCACCAAAATGGTTTCTACTATTGTTACAAGCTGAAGAATCCTTTTCTGGTACTGTTTAGAACCATTTTTCTTAAGAGTGTAG